GTTTCTCAGGTCCAGTATGCAAACGTATGGCTGCTTGTCCAGTCTGGGGCATGTCTGCCAGTGGCAGCCCATGGGGCTATTTCTCAGGTCTGAGACATGGACTTTTAGTGACTTGACTGTTCTGGGAACATGCTCACCAGGAGTGACCTTCAGGACTATTTCTCAGGCCCTTTTAGGGAGTGCAGGGCCATTGGGCAGGCTGGGGCATGGTAGGGTAGAGGCTCTGGGGATATAGTGGGGCTGTTTCTCAGGTCCTGAGCATGGATGTGTAGCCACTTCACTGGCCTGGGAACGTATCAGATGCTTGGAGGCTCGGGGGCCTCTCCCACTCAGGGAAGGATATGTAGCGGTTTGGCTGGCTCATGGGTGGTTTCACCCTGGGCAGGACTGGCAGACTGTTCCTCCTTCTAGAATTGTGGTGGCAGGAGTTGGTTTCCCTGCTATGTAGGACCAGAGTCACAGCTGATTCTTGGCCCAATCTCCATACAGCTGGGGTTGTGGCATTCAGCCACCCATTTGGGCTTGGTACAATGAAGATGGAGCCCCAGTACTAGGGAGGTGTGGTGGCTGCCGGCCATCAGAGCAGGGCACACTCCAGAGGTAGCTCTGGTGTGAAGATGGTACCATGCTGCAGCAGCTTGCCTCACAGAGGGTGGGTGTGGGTGAGGAGTGCACACGTTGTGCTCTTAATCAGAGCCACGTTGCTGTGTGAATTTCCATCAGCTCTCCCAACTGGGCTCAGGGCTTGTGAGGACTGTGGAATTCTCCTGTTGTAAGGACTGTAGGCTGGGCCTTATGGCTCATTCCTGCAATCCTAGCACTGTGGGAAGCTGAGGCAGGCAGATCGCCTGAGTCTAGGGGTTTGAGACTAACCTCTGGCAAGATGACAAAACCCCATCTCTACAAAACATCAGCCAGGCATGGTGGTGCATGCCTGTAGTCCTGGCTATGCAGAAGGCTGAGGTGAGAAGATCACTTGAGCCAGTGAGGCCACAGTTGCAATGAGCTGAGATCACACCACTGCACTCCAGCCTAGGTGACAGAGTAAGATTCTGTCTCAAAAGTCCCTCTTGTCTATGGGCTGATCTGATTTGGGCAAAAGAGATGGGGATGCAAAGGCTCGGTACCTTCATGCTGGCTTCCTGGACTTCCAATCACCACAGGTCCATCTCCACTCCCCCACTGCGCTCCAGCACTCTCCTTTTGACACTTCAGTAAAATCTTAGCTGTTTATTTGTTGCCTGGGTCCTTTATTGTCAGGGGGATGAATGCCAGGCATCTCTAGTCAGTCATCTTGCTTTTCTATATCTCATTAGTTACAGGAGAGAAGGTTGTTACCATCCTTGGTGATGAAGGAAACAGCACATGTTGATAGGCATCGGTTCTCAACAAGTGCAAATAAGAGGGATCATAGGCAGCAACAGAATTCTGAGGTATCTCTGTGTGAGCAAAGAGCTTTTCTAGTAAATTGCACCATGACAGTCTGCTAAAGGTATAATTTACAAGATCACCAAATAGCTTCTCAATTAGTCTTTCTGTTAACATTCCTGCACTATCTCTATACCAACGTGTTTCTTAGGTAATGCTCAGCCAAACAGAAATCAGATTTTGGAACCAAATCAGATTTTCTTCCATAGACCCAGAAAAGACTGCTTAGAATAAGCAAGGAGAAAGAGAAAAAAGTGGGAAGAGAAAGAGATATGTAGAGGAAGAAAAGATAAAGAAAAATTGGAAAAAAAAAATCTAAAACAAGCACGAGATTCCAGTTTGTCATCTATCATAGGACATACTCAACATTAAGAGGAGGCAGAAAACAAATAGGGAGGGGGACAGCTTTCCAGCTCCCCAAATCAGGTTGTCACCATGTGACTTAATTATCTCGCTTGATATATTGTGAATTCATCCCACCATTTGGTGTGGACAATTGAGTTATCATCAAGATAACCTTGAAATGCACATCACGTGTACATTTCAGATAAGGTTTGTTTAACCAGCACAGGAATAATAAACAACTTGCTAGGTGCTCAGTGTTACCTCCACCTTGAACTCTTACAAACTTGAACCCAACTTAACATGAAGCAGGGATCAAAAGGTCCATCAGGCCATTCCAGGTTGAAAATCCTGTTAATGCCAGAGGCATTTGGGGAAATTCCAAGTAAAGCATAGAAGAATCTCAGGGCTATGTTAAGGTCACCAACTGGCCTCACTGGTTCACCTAGACAGCCCTGTTTTTCAACAAACTACATCTGCTGGGTTTGATGGTTATTATGGGGATTTTGTACATAGCTAAATTTATACTGTGAAGTGCTTTGAGAATTACTTATAAATTATTATTTGCATACTTAACTGATAGCCTTCATTATGAGAAAGACCATATTTAATAAAAATTGTATGTAATTAAAAAATTAATTCAGATTTGAATAAAGTCTTGATTAATATTACTGTAGCAATATAAACTTTCTAATTTTGATAATTATGCTCTCATTATATAAGATATTAATGTTTGGGAAAGTTGGGTGAAGGGTATACGGGAATTCCTTGACTATTTTTTTGTAAATTCTGTCTTTTTTTTTTTTTTTCTGAGACAGAGTCTCACTCTGTCACCCAGGCTGGAGTGCAGTGGCGCAATCTTGGCTCACTACCAGCTCCCCCTCCTGGGTTCACGCCATTCTCCTGCCTCAGCCTCCCGAGTAGCTGGGACTACAGGTGCCCGCCACCACCATGCCCGGCTAATTTTTTTGTATTTTTACTAGAGACAAGGTTTCACTGTGTTGGCCAGGATGGTCTCGATCCTCCTGACCTCGTGATCCACCTGCCTCGGCCTCCTAAAGTACTGGGATTACAGGTGTGAATCACTGCGCCTGGCCTGTAAATTCTTTATAAGCTGGAGTTACTTGAAAATGAAGCATTAAAAGAAAGTTTTAAAATATTTAAAAAGGTAATTCACAGAGCCTCACAATTTCTCCATTATTTGCACCCAGAAAAGGGGCTCCTTCAGCCTCTCTCTTTTGTTGACAAGATGATGAAATCCACCATAAGTCAGATGAAAGAATGAATGCAAAAGTCCTTGCTGAAGTAAACTGCTAAGCAAATGTTAATAGTGAACATTATAGTCCCATATGGAGCTGCTTCTCTATAAATAAAGGGAGGAACAAGCCATTATATGAAATGCCCTACCAGAGAGTCTCCAAGCAGTTTACAAAATGCTTAGAAATTGCTGCCCTAAAAGTAGGACTCGGGGAGCTATTGAAAGGTGTTCAGCAAGGCAGGCAGGCATACAACAGCAGCAATCCTTCAGGATGACTCCTCAAGCTTTTAATACATAGGATGGAGGAAGTGGAGGAGATTGGACTCAACAAATCCCCCTAGGAGTTACTTTAATAATTGAGGAGTGGATGGTCCTCACTGAGTGGGCCTGGAAAGGAATAAACCAAACTGAGAGGCATGGTGAAGAGCTCATCCGTCTGGGCGGGACTAGCTCGGAGGTGGAAGAGGAGGGAGACAAATGAGTCTGTGGTTACTTGAAGATGTTTCGCCAAGATGACTGGGGCAAATGCTTCTCAGTGTCACTGAGAGATGGAAAATGAAAAAAAAGGAAAGACAATTCATAGAGGTTCGGCTGCAAACTCAAGCAGCTGCAGAGGACAGGCAGGTGCAAAAGGGGGAAGACAGGTCATGGGGACTGCAAAATTGCAAGAGTAGTTTCTCTAAAGAGGGTGCCTCCAAGGGGCCTGCCACAACTCAGCATCAACCGTCCTTGCCATATGGGAATGCACTTGTGGTGTAACCAGATCTTCCATATTTTCAAGAGAAGCCAGAAATTCACATCTTATGTGAAATCTCTTAACCTTTTAATGCTAGGTTCTAATTTTAAAACATTTTAAAGCAGGGTGTCTGCCAGCCAAGCACATCTATGGGCCAGATCTGGTAGGCTGGCTATCAAGTTGCGACCTTTGACATAGAGAAAATGTCAAGGGTCAAAGTTCATAGACTGTTAAGGTGATACATAGAGAGACAGTGACTGTAAAGGGATTCAGTACCTAAAATGCTACAGATGCAGCTTTGCCAGCAATGTGAGCTGTATGACATACACCCCTACCCTTCAAGCCTGTATATGGATTTGAATTTATACAGAAGTTTCATCTAATCCTCAAATGGTTAAATCACAAGAATTTGAGTGCTTTCTGTGTGCTGAGTACACAGAAGTTAAAGAATTTAAAATCTAACTGGAGAAGGAAAAAACATGCCCTCTTCAAACAACTTGAAACAAATTGTGAAACAACCTGGGAGGACTGCTTTCTTCACATTTAAGGCGTCAGAGGCACCTTAAATCCTGATTTGTCCCCCCCAAATCACTTCCATTTAGAAAACTTTGCAGTAGTGTGTGTGTGTGCGCGTGTGTGTGTGCGTGCGTGCGTGTGTGTGTGGCTTGAATTTGTAACCAGAAATCTGATTTCCTGGGCAGTGGTTACAAAGCTGCAGGCTCTCTTTGCCCAGGGGTATCTTTACCCAGCGTGGGGTGGGAGTGAGCTGAGGTGGGGGTGCACGGACGCTGCTGCGGAGGTTGGGATGGGAGTGGCCGCCGTGAAGCCACTGCCTGTCAAGTTTCTCCGCTGGAGTCCTCTCTTTGTCTCTGTCATTACTCTTTAAGTGTTTGCGTAGCAGACGGGCGGGCACCGAAATAGAAAGTGTCAAAGATACGATGACAATGAGGATAAACCCAGGGCAGAGGGTTCTGAAAGTCCCATCCAGCACGGTCCCCGCAGAATGCCAGCACACCTCCCGCCGCTTCAAAGAGCCGGCTCGGCGGGGCAGGAAGCGGCGGCTGCGGCTGCGGGTCCTGCGAGGAGAGCGCGATTTCCTCCGGGGCTGCCCAGTTATCTCTGGAGTCGCAGAACGGCTCTCGGGAGAACGCGTTCTCTACCCCCACCCCGTGCTCCTCAACCCACCCACCTACTTCCTCCAGCTCCACACACTCACAAGCACGGAGCTGCCAAAAATTTCCACCCTCCGCCCCCCTCCCTAGCTAACTTCCTTCCAGCGTTTCCTGAGCTGGATGATCCTAGGATTTGTAAGACAGGAAAAAAAGGAAGGCGTGAGGGCGGGCAGGAGGGACAGGATGCTTGTTTTTCGCTCTACCAAAGCCGACTGAAGGCGAGACAGCGGGCCCAGGGCGCAGGACCCACCGCAGCCCCCTGGGCAGTCTTCTCACCCCGCGTCCGCGTCCTTTCCGGGGCACTTAAGAAGCGGGGGGAGAGCTTGCCCTCCCTCCTAAGCGGAGGAGGAACACCCGAAGACACCGCAGGAGCCTGTGAAAGTCCCTGGGACTCCAAGTGAGGAAGTGACACTCCCAGGCGAGCCGGCCCGCGGCTGCCAGTCTGACGGCCTCGGCACGGCGGCCCCGGAGCGGCGCGGGGTGGATCTCAGGCTCTGCCGGCCCGCGCCCCGCGGGGTCCATGCGCAGGGCCCCCAGCCCAGGTTCTTCCATCTTCCGATGCGGCCCCCCAGAGCCGCGGGGCAGCCGGTGATCTAGCCCGGGAGCCCATCTTACAGCGGTGCCAAGCAGAGGGGCGGCAGAGACGGAGGGGCAGCCTCTTTGGGACTAACTCATGAAGAACAAGGGTGCCAAGCAGAAGTTGAAACGAAAGGGAGCCGCCAGCGCGTTTGGCTGTGACCTGACGGAGTATCTGGAAAGCTCGGGACAGGATGGTAATGTGCCTTGGCCTTTCCTCCACTTCTTTTTGTTTGAGGGAGAGATGGACTCTCTCGAGTTGTGTTAGAGTCGGTTCACAAGTTAATGTATTCCAGGCCTGTGCGCTCATTGTACTTTTTTTTTTTTTTAAGAACATAAACGATTCTTAAGGTGCACAGCGCTGCCGTTCCGACGCGCGGAGGCTGCTGTGTCAGTCCTTCCGTTGGTCTCACACAAGCTGTTAATGGGTGGTACTGCCGCAAGTTTACCGGGCCACCTCAGGGGATGGGGGTGGAGGCTGCAGAGGTCCCGATTCTAAATCTGGCATGTTGGTAGGGAGGGAGGAGGGGTGGACATGTGGGATGGTGATCAGTGGGCTTCCCTGGGTACAAAATCATGACCGCCTTAGCTGTCCCTCCTGGGCTCTCCAATTTCGTCTGCTCACATCTTTTTTTATTAATGTGTTAGAAGGCAGTTGGGGGTGGGTGGTGGGGGAGGATCCTAACTGGGGGAGTGGTTGCGCAAACATTTCTGAATTTCTGAGCTGATGCCAAATATATAGTACCTCCACCCCCTTTCCACACCCCCCCCCCCAAGACCTTTTCCCTCCTCTTGGCTTTCAGATTAACATTTGGTGTGTCAGACAAGAAGAGTGTTGTAAAAAGGTCAGAGGGCCTCGATTTTTAAATAGTTTAGGGTAAGTAGAGGAAAGGAAAACTTCTCTCTTTTCAAGGTCAGAAACGGGAGGGGGTGAAGTTGGGGATGGCGGAATCCAGCGGAGACAATTTAAACATTTGTTGGGGAAGGGGGAAAGAAAACACCATCTAGATTACAATAACAGCGTTTGAGCTTAGAAGTGTTTAATCATAGGAAAGTTTGAAAATTGAGCATTAAATGACTCCTTTTGTAAGGTTGACTGGTTTTGCACTTACCCATGACAAAAAGGCCTTGTCTTCAGAAGCTTCAGCGAGAGGGAAAATAGCCTACTATATGGGCCATGTGTTTATACATAGATAGATACAACAAAGGGGAAAACATAAGGGCTGTGTAACTGTGCAGAATAATTCTGCCTCCAGGAAAATAATCTCAAAAACTATTTGATTAGTCCATATCGAATATGCATTTCAAAAACAGTGCAATGCTTTTGTTTCACTTCCGTTTTTTGGGAGACTCAGCACCACCTAGTAATTTGCAGTGGTGTGATATTCCTGTGGTATTCTAGAGTTCAGTGTGCTGTGTCATTAGGATAAATAGCTTAGGATTTTAGAGCTTGGAGAACCACAAGTTTCAAAACTGACTCTTTTGAAATTGATGCATAACTGAACAATTCGTTGAATCCTCACCAACCATCTGGAGAGGTAGATTTGAGATAAAAATCACTTGGTTTGAGTTTTTTTTGAGCGTGAGAGAACTCTAAGTATGCCTCTTAGCCACTGTCATCAGAAGTTTACAATGAAATGCTTCCCTTCACCTGTTTTTGCAGGGGCCTTCAAGTTAACCTCCAGGTACACTAGGAATGCTCCTGGGATGCCACCTTTCACCATGCGGGTGTTATTCTGGCCCCTCCCTCAAAGCTATGAGAGTTGCATAGGGGTGCTTGCCAGCCCTGTTCATTCTTACAAACTAATAGATCATAGGATGAGCCAGAACCCCAGGGTTCTGTGAAGATACCTCAAAGGCAGCTTTAGGCAGCTGTTCTTTCACCTGCTTTATATTTTGGGCTTCTGCATATGTTTCATTTAGACAAAAAAAGGAAAGAGACTACTGCTTAAAAGAATAGCAAACCAGTACCCAGGGTTCCCCACCCTGGGGAGGAGGAAAAGAAGCCCAGAGGGGTAAACTGGCCTGCCTAAGGTGATACAGCTAATCATGAAGGATCAGAGGGCCCTCCCTGGCCTGTTAGGTTCCTCTGGCCTCCCTGGCTTCTGTGTCTAAGCCAACATTCTCTTCTAATGATATTTTCCCCCTAAATTGAAAGCAGACAGCCCTGCTACAGGATCAGCAAACTTTCAAGACTGAACATACCTGATGAGAGTTCAGCTTTGAAAGGAAAGGCAACTGACCCACTTAATGATCCACACACTGTTATTGTGCTACACGGAAATTAGGCATGCGTAATATACTGCTTATGTAAATAAAAGTAATTAGAATTTATTTTTTCCCCACAGCTAAATCTAGTTGGATAGGTTTTTTCCATATATTTGTCATAGTGTAGCATCAATGAACAAAGTTAGTGCTAATGGTTTTCTCTAAAGTAATGTTGCTTCTTCCTGGACTCTCTGAAACATGTATTGGTTCACAGACAAGGCCTGGACTCTGCTTCTGGGAGGAAAAGCTGAGCTGGGCACTGGCCCTTTGCCCACCACCTTGGAAGATCAGCCCAGAATGCTGAGGGTGACAAGTCAGTGTGGTAACTGGGAGCCAGGGGGCTGGAGAAGGGCTCCCTGGACTAACATCATGGTTACTGAGCTTTGAAGGTTAAGGGTGGTGCAGTGGACCTGCACTGAGATAGGAAAAATAGGTTCGGGTCTGGGAGTACAAGGAGAGAAGGGAAGACCAAAGATTTAGGGACGCAAAGAGAGCCCCTGTCCTTGGACAGGGAAGGAAAGCCCTGAGCTGGAGTGGAGGACAAAGCAGGGTGACAACGAGCTATGCTCAGGGCATCTGAACATGGGGATGCCACACGCCTGAGTGGGAACTCTGGGGAGACAAAGGCTGAAGACAGAGACTGAATGTCGTATGCTTCTGTAATTTGCTGAGGCTCAGCCCTGCTACTTTCAACTGGAGAAAGCTGACAAGGCCGGGCGTGTGGTTTACAAATAGGTGTTCAGCTTAGGGCAGATATTGCTCAGGGCCAGTTGTCAACCTTAATCTTTGGGAAGCTGTTGAAAAACAGAAACCCTTTCCTTAGAATCACACACACGCGCACACACACCACACACACACACACCGTGTATGCAATTTCTGCAGGTATCTACATAGATGCCAATTTCAGACCCTGCTCTGATCACCCCTCACTGGCTACACAGCGGGGCCTGATATCCAGGACCAATTTTCCCTCTTCTTTGACCACTTTTCCCTAGCCTAGTAAGAAGGGAGCAATGAACACTCTTAGCCTGGTAAGAACACTCAAGAATGGCATGAAGTGGCTCCTGGCAGACTTGCCCAGAACCTGTTGCACTTCCCCTCCAACACAGTGGCTGCTGTCTCCAACCCCCAGCTCTCCCCTGGGAACCAGCTAACTTTCTCTTCCTGTCTGCAATAAAGGGAGATCATCCCTTCCTTACTGCTGCTGCTGAAAATAGTATAGTTTTCTTTTTCTTTTCTTGACCACTGAATAAGAAGGCCCTTGCTTCAGCTGTATAATGAAAACCACATCACGTTCCTGCCTAAGGTTGGAAGGTTGTGGGTGAAGCTCTGCGAGGTCATAATGTGCCCATGGTCATTTGCTACCTCTCCTTTATACGCCAAGTATTCTGGGTCTTCTAGTAGAGCTTGGAGATGGTTGAGGCCAGGAGCCAAGAGACAAGTAAGAGAGTGTTATAGGGAAAATTGTCTTCTTCCTCTGGGTTGGCTTTACTTTAATGGCTGAGGATTTTTTGCTCCTCTGAGCAAACTTGTTCATTTTACCCACTCCCTGGTACAAAGTGATACCGAGCTTCCCAGTTGACAAAGAAAAGAAGGGGCGACGATTGTGCCGAAAAGGGCTGCAGCTACCTGCAGCCTCTTCGCTGCACAAACTGTGCCCAATGCGTGCCCAAAGACAAGGCTTTTAAGAAGTTCCTCATTCAAAACACAGTGGAGGCCACTGCTGTCTGGGACATTTCTGAAGCAAGTGTTTTCACTGCCTATGTATTTCTCGAGCTGTATGTGAAGCTACATTACTGTGTGAGGTGTGCCATTCACAGCAAGGTAGTCAGGAATTGATCTCATGAAGCCTGCAAGGACCAAACACTCCCACCCTGATTTAGATGTGCCCGTGTTGTCCTACGGTCTCCATCAAAGCCCATGTAAGGAGCTGAGTCTTTAAGGGCTGAGGGAAAACTGTCCTCTCGAGAAAAATAAAATGGAAGTTGTACTTAAAAAAAATTAAAAGGTGATATTGCTTGCTCTGGCCCCATGGCTCTCAGTGATAGCAACACATTAGAATTACCTGAGAGCTTTAAGAAAAAAATGCTGATGCTCAGACCCCTGTAAGAACGATGAAATCAGAATCTTTCCTAGAATATGTGGATACGTAGGCAGGGGGGTAATCTCTGCTCAGATTACAGACCATTTTCCCCTGGATAAGCAGCCTTAGCCATTCAGAATGTACCTTCTGAATGTTTGATAAGAACCGTCAGCCTTTTTATTCCTAAAATTTTTTTTCCTAGTTCTTACCGCACTGAAAAAATATACATTAACATATATATGACATATCTTTAATATATAATGTATATGTTTGATTTGAGGCATGACAGAGGGAGGGTTCATAACAAATAAGTGCCCATTACAAATATGACTTCAACCTTGATGAGCGTAAGCCCCAGTATTTCAAAGAACAAGGACAAGGCAATGGGAACTTTTAGATGTGACTCTTCTACATTTCTGAGGCTAAATGATTCTCTTTCTGTTTATCTATTTATTTAACAAACATTTATTAAGGCACTGTGGTAGATACTGTAAAAAAAAAGATGGGCTGCAGGCTCAAGAAAGTTATAGTCTAAGGGATATGAACAAACTTTCAGATCAATTAAGCTTTGAAATTATCTGTCATAGCTGAAGGAAAAGCTGAAGAAGAAAATTTGAAAGTTTTGATCTCCAGTTAAATAGACAAGATACTCAAACATCAGCAGCAGCAAAGTCTTAGCAAAGAAGGTAAATATTTCTGTTCAAGAAAATATTTAACCTTGAATGGAGAACGAAGGCAGGGTTTTTTTTTTTTTTTTTTTTTGGCTTAGTTGCTTCCTTTCCAGCAGCTTGCCTGGCACATCATGGTCACACCTTCCCTGACTAACTCTTCATCCTTTGACTCTCA